CAAGGATGGGTGAGGGAAAATGACCCGTGGCTCTTGGGAAAGGGGGTGGGGTTTATAGTCTCATATTCAGAATGCAGTCCTTGAAGGCACAAATCCTTCTTTATTTCTCCCAATGGCCTGATCAATAGAAAGTAAAGAGAGTTGACCAGAAACCACAGAACTTATATGCATGTATGCATGAACAGTGGACATGGACAACAAACTGGGGAAAGGGCAGGGAGGGAGAGGGAGGGGGGAATCAGTGGAGGAAAAAGGAGAAACATCTGTAACAAAAATTAATTAATAAAAAATAAAATAAAATAAAAAGTCTTTCAAAAAAAAAAGATAAAAGAATTGGACAAAACTGCTTGTGTTTATGGCATAAAATTCTTTTTTCTGCAAAAGCCCATTGGGCCTAGAGTCTGTCTGACCCTGAAGTTGGTGCTTGAGTTCACTTGTCTCGCCCCTCTACCAACACAGGCTACTAATGTGACATCAACAGATGTGGTCCACCCAGTTCGCTGGAATGGGCGATGTGAAGTTGGCAGTCTGAGTTTAGCCAACAGAAGACTGTTTAACATAAAAGGATGTATTTCCTTCTGATTTAACTATTATTGCAAGTCATTTAAGGCTCCACTATTCCTTATTTGAGGTGTCAAGGATACCAATGATAATACTCTTTTTTTCCTTTCTATAAAATATATACATTAAAAGTTCAGTGACCCTAAATGTGATTATAAAATTTGACGTGGAAACTAAGTTAAAAGAAAAAGGAGAGAAAGCTTTTTATTTTGGTCTAGTAGTGGCCCAAGCTTTGAACAAAGCTTAAGAACGAAAGGAGTGATTTGAAGAAAATGTCTGTTCCTTCTTTATACTTTTATTTAATAATTTTGAAAATTTGAAATAAAGCATAATTCACATCAATGAAAGTTTATTTTATATGGAGAAATAAGTTCAAAATCATCTTATATTTGATGGTGAGTGAAATCTGAATTATTAATGAAATTCTTAATTTGAATGAAAATCACACCTTTTTCTTTATAGAGTTGTGATATAATTTTGACATTTTAAAAGAGCTAAGATAAACTACTATTACTGGGGTCTGATCTGCACATAGGATAAATGTTTGGTCTTTTATAATCCTCAGGACTCTGGTTATGGTAATACTGAATTAAGGCTAAAGGTACTCCATATTTTAATAAGCCCATATTTTCTATATTGTCTAAAGGTTCATAGTCCCTTTCTTCTACCCCAGTTAGCATCTGTGTACATACATGGAACTGAAGGACAAAGAAAACATTTTTCCACCTGAGTATTTTAGTCTGGTGTTCTTGGTGTGAAATAAGCACCTTTTAGAAAAAGTGGCTGCAGAAGAAAAGAGTAATGCTTGAGACGAATTCTTAAGTATCTGGGAAGATTTTTAAAGTAAATATTTTTAAAAAGAAAATTAGTGGGATTTTTCAGAAGGCAAAGTGAGCCGATATCTTTTATCTCATTACATATTGATGGTTTGGGAAGGGGGTGGGTTTTTCTACAACCTACTCCAGCTGGGAAAGAAAAAGAACAAAAAACCCTTCCCACAATGACCGGTACCATTTGTGAGGTTGTTACAACTTTTTCAGAAGGTTGGGGAGGAAAAGTACAAATATTGTGGTTTTTCATTTTCTTTATGAAAAACCAGTTTTTTCAGACCTTGAGTGGTAATTTACGAGAGCTCTCGCGGAATGCTGGTGCACCTGCATGTGGTGAAACAGAAAGGAAAACCTCTCCTGTTGAGCAATGCATCATATGCAAATGGGGTGCAGAGGGGCACGCAGCTGGCCTGCAGAGAGCATTTTACAGGTTCCTAGGGAGCCCGACTCTGCGGCCCTCAAAACCTCCACCAGGCCTGTGAGAGTGCCCTATGCAACTTGGGTAACCTTAGCTCAAGTCTGAATGAAAGTGGCTTTTGGAGAAACAGATAAATATTATGGCCCAAGGCTAAAACTCCTTTGGCATTGATAACGGGGCATCCAGCAAAGTGGGAAAAGCCATTAACAAATTTATTAATTAGGATTCTCTTCATGTTCCTACCATCAACTGAAAACATATGTTCAATCTATACTCTTCTTAATTGATTTCGATCTTTATTGCTAGAAAAAGGTAGCCTACTTGAATTTCCCAAAGACATATCACTGGTACACTTTCTTAGGTTTTAACGGCAGGGGGCACACCTTCAGTCAACATTTATATTAAAGGACGGTGGCGCCTGAAGGCTCAGCCCTTACCTGAGCAGAGTTGTTATTCATCCCTGAGGGACTGCTAACAGGACCTTAGTGTTGTCTTTGGAAAGAGGCCTGGACCATCTGCAGCTTCAGGTTCCTTGTCTGTTAAATGGGGACAACAACACTTGCCCTGCCCACATCAACATCAAAGGCATAACAGGTGAAAGCACTTTGCAATGTGTAAGATGACATACAAAGGGCAAGGGCTTAATGAATGAATTTGCTAATAACCATTCTTAATATATAGATATTAGAGAAGTCCCAAACCCCAAAGAGATGAATGCAATTGTAATTATTTTCATAATCACATGCATCTGTTCATTGGGCAAGAAGGCTACATTTCCTTTTTGAGTCACCCTTCTGCCTATATTCAAGTCTGCTTTTCCTGTGTCTGCAAAACTCATTGAACTCAGCCAAGACATCAACAGGGAAGTCCTTGTTATGTTGGCACTTATGTCCTAAATCTAATCACGAAAGACAAGACAAAACAAAAGAAACAAAACCAATGTCCCGTTCCACGAAACCCCAGAACCCTGAGCTGCCCTCATTCTTGGTCCACTGACTGAAACACTACCATTTTAGGGGAAAATTACACAGACTACTGCTCTTCTCTGTAAGCTTTGTAATAACACATTCATGATATGCTAGGAAGCATCATAAAAAAAAAAAAGATAAAGATTTAATTGTGCTCCAGAGCACAATTTATTATTGCAGCTTTTATTTTTCTCCTTTCTATAAAATTCGCCGTTGGACATCTGGTCATGAAATTTCTAGAAGCCCTTGATCATGCAAGTAAGCTTTGAGATGTAGAGGTGGATAAGTCCTGTCAGAACTTTCTTGACTCAAATTTTACATGCCTATCATTTAGAGACTGATTTTTCTTGCTATTTTTTCCCTACATTATTGGTCATTTTCTTTGAACGGAGAGAAGGCCTAGTAGCTGAACGTGTGTTCTGTAAAGAATTGGTAACCTTTTTTACAGTAAACCTGAGCTATAATGATGACCATGTGCAGTGCTGTCTTTTTCCATCTCTCTGGAAGTGGCCTCAGGACTTGAAGTCCTGAGAGTCCCTGGCCCCTGCTCCTTGTCTTTGGGTAACAGGGCTTTCTCACGTTGTGTGCTTAAGGGAAAAGGCCTGGCTGGGCCACTCTGGGGCCAATTTTTCATTTGTAAAATATGTGCCCTTGAGTCAAGTATCTCAAAGCTCCTTTCAGTTCTGAAAGACGCATGGCTCCTCGGGCAACGCCTTCAAAGATGATTCCATGTACTCAGTGCACACTCACCAAACTACCTCCTTTATTAGCCTGAGTTTCCATTTCTATTTCTACAAGTGACAGCGATCTAACAATAATAAAAAGGCACAACTAAAGTAACATTTTTGCAGAAGACCATTCACTTCCGTCTTATTGGAACCATTTGTCTACTCCATGGGAAAGGATATGGGGTATTTCACACTGAACAGTTACATTTTGAATGACAGACATTTACCGTGATGATCACTGGAAAGCAGCCCTAATTATCGGCTAACCACTTTAGCTGGCTAATAGCTAATCTAAGCTCTGTCATTAACTGGCCGAGTGGCCTGGAATAAACTTCAGTTTCCTTATTTGTAAAGTGGACATTGGACCACTGACCCAGCTCTTGAAAAGCACTTGTAATCACTCCGAGTCTCAGAGGACAAGTGACCACCTAGGGCCATCTGAGACTTTAGGGGATGCATTTACTCTTTGGGGCCATCAGGGGAACCATTTGGAACTAGAGCACTGGTTTGCTAATGTTGCCCCAGTGTCCCCAAAGAGTTAATGCACTTTCCACATACCTCCTGCTTTCTCTGTGTATATCAACTAATCTATCAGATGGTGCCTTTGACAAGTCAGTTTGCATGACACAGGTGGGCATTTTACTCCTCGACACTACTTGCCTCTTCTTTGCTCCTAAAAGAACCGGAGCCAAACCCCAGCAGGCATCTACACAGCACTCTGATTGCAGGAGACTTTGGGATTATGGATGAAGCGCAGAGCTGGTAGCTGCTGTGACCTCCCACTGGCCCTCTTGTTCTCTGATCTCCAGAAGAACAATGCTGGGTGGTGGTACTGGAGTTACTTTATTGTCTTGCTGTTAACGTTTTATTATTACTAATAGCTATAGGGTGTGAACATCTATTCACCCACTTGTCCATCTCTCCTTCCATCTGGACTCTGAGCAATAGTGACTTTCAAGAAGGTGAATCCTACTTACGTCTGGACCCCTTGCTATCCGCCACCTCCTCCAGGAGCACTTTGATCAAATATTCCTCATCTCTTCTGCATCATTAACCTAATTTTTTTCTTTCCAAACCATGTGAAAGGCTTTAATTTTAAATAAATCATGCCTTGCCCTGGCCAGTTTGGCTCAGCGGTTAGAGCATCAGCCTGTGGACCGGAGAGTCCCGGGTTCATTCCCGCTAAGGGCACGTACCTCGGTTGCAGTTTGTCCCCGGCCCCGGTTGGGTTGTGTGGCTGGCAACCACCCGATGTGTCTCTCTCACATGGATGTTTCTCTCTGTCTCTTTCTCCCTCCCGCTCTATCTGAAGATAAATGCAAAATGTCCTTGGGTGAGGATTAAAATAAATAAATAAAAAACAAAAATGAAAAAATAAATAAATCATGCCTCCCTGGACTTGATGTCCTGTTTGCCCTTCTCTCTCGTTTTTGGCTTTCCTAGTTACACTTGTGAAAGAAAAGTCCATGCTTCCTGTCTTCGCTGCATCACTTACTTATTCTGTGACCCGCTGTAGGCCTCTCTGAATGTGGTCATCATCGATGAGACCCTAAGTCCTCTGCATTTCCAAGAATCTATGAAATGCTTGAGAGATACGAAAAAAATAATTGCTTTAAGTACTTAAAATATTAGAAAATTAACTTAGTACTATTTTCAAGGTACATTTAATGTGGAATTTGGTACATTTTAATGTTTGCTAGAATATGGAATGGGATCTCCAAAAATCAGAGTTCAGGATCTAGGAGTGTTTTAGGTGACCCTGTTGAGAGGTATCATAATTGCCAACTCCAGGGACCATTTTTAGTTCTTATTAAAAATGAAACAGTATTTGACGATTTTGACCACATCTTCCTTACTCTTCCTTTCTATTTCCTCGGTTCCTGTGCTATCAGGATCTCCCAGTTTTTAACTGATCCCTTTGCTGACCTGTGTTCCATTTTCTGTGGATTCCTCTTCGCCCAGAGCTCCATTTGGTTGCCTTTTCCCTTGATGAACTTTCGTTACAGTCTCATCCGTGCCCGGGCTCCTGTGCTCACTTACATTCTGAACTCCCTCGCCGTCCATGCTGGCACCTTAATCTCTACTGCTGTCGTCTCTTGATCTTAAAAGTCTGCTATTTGAGAAACATCTGTAACAAAAATTAATTAATAATAAAAATACAAAAAGTCTGCTATTCCTCTCATGTTGCTGTGTGATTAAACGGTACACTGTCCACTCCACAGCTCAGAAATCGGAGAGACATCTTCCCTTCCCTTGTCTTACATCCAGTCAATCGCAAACTAATTCAATTCCCATTGAGTCTGTCTACTTCTCTCCATCTTTTAAAAACACAGTTCTGGTTTTGTCACGCTTGTGCTTAATCCCTTCAGTGGTTCCCACTGACTGGGGACAAAGACAGAAATATTACCGTGGCTCCCATAAGACCGCCGCCGCCTCTCCGGCCTCGGTTCCAGCCACTGTTCTCTTAGAGCCTCCGCCGTAGCCCCACGAGTGCTTGTTCTTTTTACTGCACTCTCACAGCAGTTTCTTCCCTTTTCACAAGGTGTCCTCACCACGGAACATCTTTCCGCCCATTGTCCCCCTCACCAGACCCCTGGAATCGCAGATGGAGTCAGCAGCCCGGTGCCCACGTCGGCCACCACCGTTACACTCTCCTCACGCTCTGGGCCTCGCCCCTGTAGCTCTCCACACCCTTCACACTTTGTTCAGTGCCTACTGTGCCCAACAAGGGGGCCTAATAGTTACTGGGTGCTGCCTGTGTGCAAGGCAGTTGTATATACATGATCTCATTTTATTTTATTTATTTTATTTTTTTTTTAATCCTCACCCGAGGATATTTTTCCATTTTTTGTACAGATAGAGTGGGAGGGAGGGAGAGGAAGGGAGAGACAGACAGAAACATCGACGTGAAGGGACACATCGAGTGGCTGCCACCCGCACGACCAACCAGGGCCGGGGACAAACTGCAACCGAAGTACGTGCCCTTAGCGGGAACCGAACCCCGGTCTCTCCGGACCGCAGGCCGACGCTCTAACCGCTGAGCCAAACTGGCCAGGGCACATGATCTCATTTTAATCATCCCAGCAACTCTGAGGCAGTATTGCTCTGGTTTTACAGATAAGGACACGGAAGCATTGAGAAACTGAAGGCCCATAGTCAGTGCAGAGGAAACTAAAACCGGAGCCCAGGCAGCCCGCATCCAGGGCCTGTGCATGTCCATGGTTGATATGCTTCAGTGGATCAGTAAGTGCCACGGGGGCAGGGCCAGAGCTTGTATCTCCAGAGCCTAACCCAGGACTGGCACATAGTAGTGGGCAACAAGGACTTGCTGAAATAATTAGTAACAGTCCAAATTTCCAGGGTCCTCCATAATCTTATCCTGACCTACCTCTCCAGCCTTCCTCCCAGTAGGCCTGGCCTCCTTCTCCATGCCCTGTTTTCTAGCCATAGAAACTGTTTCCTGGACAGGCCATAGTGGTTCACGCCTGTGCCCTCTCTATGTTCATTCATTCACTCATCCATTCGTTCACTCACTCATCATTCATCATGTACTGAATCCACAGTGACGGCGAGGCAGAGAGAAAAGTTTCATGACAGATGTAGGCTAGAGGAACAGGAAAGAGGGGTATCTAAATAAGAATGAGGAGTCAAGGAAGTCTCCCAAGAGAGAGAACATGAAAATCGAGATTTTCTCGGCATATGCTCGTGTCTATGGGAAGCCCCTATGTATCTCTCAGGGCTCTGCTCAAATGTCTCTTCCAGGGTTCTGTCCACGGCAGAACTGGCAGACAGCGTACTACATGTCTGTGGGTGATGACCTTCCCGACAGACAGTGAGATCCTCTTATTCTCTTTGTGTATCGGTCTCAGCAGAGGAGGTACCCAATGAAGTGCTGGCAAATGAACAAACAAAGTGGTGGCTCCTTGTTGGCCCCGACTACGTGCCAGTCCTGGGTTAGGCTCTGGAGGCACAAGCTCTGGCCCTGCCCTTGTGGCACGTACTGGTCCACTGAAGCACATCAGTCATGGAGACACGGGGCTCTGGATGCAGGCTGCCTGGGTTCTGGTTTTAATTTAACCTTCCAATCCTTTTCAGTTCATTGTACAACTCTGTGCACTTCTCTGAAACCATAGCATTTGGGTTTATTTGCAGAATAGACATATTTGTTCCTTTATAGAATATTTCCCTTACCATGCAATTAAGAGAGACTAGGAGATCAATGACACCTAGCATCATCACATCATTTTATTTGGGGCACCAATGTATAAAGTACATAAAAGCACTTATGTAAACACACACACTCACTCATATGCTTTAGTCAGTTTGGTGAACCTAATAACTTGAGAACATAAGAATTCACACCATCAGGCACTATCTCCTGACAATTCTGGACAATGGGGAGAATATCATATGACAGAATATTAGTATATTTTTTGAAGGACAAGTTGATCCTTCTAATTCTCTCATCAGTGGAAAAGGACTTTTTCATTATTAGAAACAGGCCCTAAATGTTAGCTGCTCATGTGTTTTGAACAAGTGTGAAAAAAAAAAAAATGATGCCATTTATTCATTTTGGACTAACATCAAAGCCACTTCTGTCGCACTGCTCTCTTTGGGTTAGTCATATGGAAGGCTCTTTGAAAACTGTAATGAGATACAAACTTAGTACAGTGTCCGCTTCTCTACTAATACATGGAGGACAGCTTGGACGCTCAGGGAACCAAAGCTCTTATGGGAGCTGCTGAGGACGCCTGGCATTCTGTAATCCTGTCTGTCCGCGTACACAACCCTGAGCTATCCCTCTTTCTATGGGATATATTTTCTCACCTGCTGAATGATCAGGTTGAACTAGAGCAGGGTTCAGCAAACCTTTTTGGTAAAGGACGAGATAGTAAATATTTTGGGCTTTGGACCATATAGTCTATGTTGCAACTATTTAACTCTGTCATTGTGGCATGAATGCAGCCCTACAAATATGTTCATCAGGCATGCTTGTTTTCCATTAAAGTTTTATTGACAAATGCAGGTCGAGGGCCAGATTTGGCCAGTGGATCACCATTGCAGATGCCTGGACTAGATGAATTCTAGGATCCCTTTTAGGTTTTCTGCCATCATGATCAGTTTTGATGGTTTCATGAAGAGTTCAGAGTTGGGAGATGGCTGGGAAAAAAGAGGAGTACACTTTAAAGAATCCTTGGCTGGATGAGATTACTATATTTGACTTACCTTTTCACTTGGAATCTTTTAACTTTGTAGCATAATGTCCCTATTATATTTAGCAATTAGAGTGCCATCACAAAGTAAAATGTAAAACCATTATTCCCTGAAAAGAGAAAAGGCTTGCGGTATGAAATGATGCATGCAAGGAGAGTGGGTGATAATTTACTCATATAATCATTTCTATTTCAGTTCTGTGGCAAGTATTTCTGGAGATGGCTCACACGGCAAAGATCTTTGAGATGTGCACACCGTAATTAACCTTTCTGTATACTGTGATAGAAATACCAATAGTCTTTTCTATTAGCAGTTTTACCTTTACTTATGGTCTGTGGAATGATGTGAATTAAAGAATGACGATTATAAGGAAAAAATGCTTTGCACTTTGGGTTTAAAACAAAACATGCATAGTCTTCCTGTTATTTTTATTTCATGGTTAAGTTCCAGACAATGAATACCTCTTTTTTTTTTTGTCCTTAGCAGAGGGGATTAGACAACTAACTGGCTAGTACTTCTGTGGTGTACAGATCAGTGATTCTCAAAGTGTGGTCTCTGGACCAGCGGCATTCATGTAGCATCAGCATCACCTGGGAACTTGGTAGAGATGCAGATCCTCCAGCCCTACAGACCAGCTGAATAGAAGCTCAGGGAGAGCCCAGCAGTTCGTGTTTCAACAAACCCTATAGATCATTCTGATGCCTGATAAAGTCTGGGAATCCCAGTATGCACAGCAGATTCTTGAATAACATTATTTTGTTCAGCCTCATTTTGTTATAACATTGATGAGATGCCATGGGAACTTAACTCTTGTTTATATCAGTTAGCCTATGGTAAAATTTATTTTGTTACGTCATTTTACTTAAAGTCGCAGAACCTATTGATGGCGTTAAGTGAGGAGTTAGTGCAGATTATTACTTTCTAGAAACACAGTTAAAGGAAAGACCTGTCCTCCCTCAAAGAGCAGAATGACCCCTAGAGTTTGTGCATTCGGAAGGTACAGAATAAAGGCGGCAAACCTCTAGCTATGCTACAAGAAGAAATCGGGCTGAGAAAGAAAAATGATGGGGAAAGAGAGAGACACAGAACTTTGGTGAGTAGGAGGAACTAGAAAACTGCAGACAGCTGTGACTAAGCCCATAAACGTCACCATCACCACAGTCTCAAAGTCATTCATTCGACAGCCCTCCCATGATTGATGGGTGGGACTGTACTAGGTGACAGGGACATGGAAATGAAGAAGAGCCTCCCCCTGTCTGCAAAGAGTTCAGGGTCTTGGAGTGAAAAAGAAAAGAAATGGCTCCCTTGAGAATGTATGAATACTGAATAGTCAAAGTCGAAGGGCGAGGTTGGTCGGCAGGAGAGAGAGTAGAGACAGGATGGAGAGAACAAAGATGAAGGAGGAGAAATAAGAGGATAAAGAGAGTGAGCATTAAATACTTTATTTAGGATTCTGTCCCCTTAATCCCTGCAGCGAGTCAATGGCAAGCTGTCCTTTGATTCGGAGATGTAGGTCCCTGACAGGTCTTGATTTCCTCCCTGCTCCACTGACCAGAACGGCGACGAGGAGCCGGTCCTTCCCTGTGACCCTTACAGTTGGCAAAAAGCAAAAGTAGCACAGAGGCGTAAACCATTAGGCTTCGTGTGGGTCAGAAACAACATCTTCTTATGAGAATGTGACCTGGTCTTGTTCTAGTTCTGTGGCATATTATTTGTCTTACAACTTCATCTTGAAATCATCTCTGGGTCCAACGGAGATTTTTATAGATGAAACCATGTTACTAAAAACTAACACCAAAGCAAACATCATTGCGCTTTTAGAGTTTGATGATTTCTAGATGCCAGTTTGTCAAACAGACTCAAATATTTTATTTTAAATATGATTTTATTGATTTTTTTTAGAGAGAGAGGAAGGGAGAGAGAGAGAGAAACATCAATGTGATAGAGAAACATCGATTGGCTGCCTCCTGCACGCCCCCTACTGGAGATCGAGCCCACGACCGGGGCATGTGCCCTGACTGGGAATCCAACCGGGACCTCTCAGTCCACGGGATGACGCTCTATCCACTGAGCCACATCAGCCAGGCCAGACTCAAATATTTTAAAGAATGACTTCGTTGTTTTAGTGAAATTATATGTATGTTTATTACTGTGGGATTTTTTAAATTGAAGCTATACAGAAAGTTACAAAGAAAAGTAATTTCCCAAAGTAATGATTACTAACATTTGGTGAACAGAATGCATAAATACAAATAGAAGGACAGATAATTAGAAATGGTTTCAGAAAGGCAGATCATAGAGTGCATGCTGTTTTTTAAAACAAAGCTCTTGTTTTGGAATAATTTTAGGTTTACAGAAGCATTGTGGAGAGCACTGAGTATTTTTTTGTACGCCACCACCCAGTTTCCTCTTACTTGTTAACATGTTACATTACCATCGACTTGTAACGCAACTAAGAAACAAACATTGGCAC